CAAAATGCGGTCACGTGGGGGTGTGGTCAATCATTGAACCAATGTAACCTCAGGGATAGCCCCAATGGCTCTGTCACATGATCAGGATGTAGGGGCAGCATAGTGTATTTATAGGGGACCGCATGTTAATGCTATATCCTCCCCTCTCTCCCAGGATGCAGTGGTCCAAACGACCAAACGCAGTCACATGGGGGGGGGGGGATGTAATGTTTTATCCTCCCCTCCCTACTAGGATGCAGTGGTCCAATCGACCAGGCGCAGTCACATGGGGGGGGGGGGATGTAATGTTTTATCCTCCCCTCCCTACTAGGATGCAGTGGTCCAATCGACCAGGCGCAGTCACATGGGGGGGGGCTGCATGTTAATGCTATATCCTCCCCTCCCTCCCAGTATGCAGTGGTCCAAGTGACCAATCACCAGCCCCGAATGCAGACACGTGGGGTGGTCATGTTAATGTTATATCCTCCCCTCCTAGGATGTGGTCCTAATGCAGTCACAAGGTCGGGTGGTCAGTCATTGAACCCCTGTAAGCGCTGAAATAACCCCAACAGCTCTGTCACATAAAGGGAGCATTGGAGCACCACCGTGCAAGTGCATATATTAGGGAAAGGGGTGTGGGGTGTTCCTTACAAAGGACCCTATCCCTTTGCCCTGACATGCCCAATGCAGGACTCTAGTAGCTAAGTAAAACTAGCTTTAGGCCCCATTCACACCATGGCGTTGCATGAACCTCACGATGATGCACATTCGTATACATTTGTGTGGTGCGCATTCAGGGGCATTTGCCTGGCTGCATTTGGGGTTCCGTTTACCAGTGATGGCACAGCAAGCACATTTGGCATTTCTGATACATTCCATGAACGTGCGTCAGAGTGCACAGGTTGTCCGTCGTTCCATGGTGTGACGGGCCTTAGGCTGGGTTCACACCTAGGCGTATCGACTATGGGTGCTTGTCAGGCGTTTCGTGTCACGCGTTTTTACCGTGATCCCCTACAAAAACCGTGTGTTTCCAAGGGCTACCTGGCTGTATCCCAATGGATACGAGCGGCAAATACGCCCCAAAAAAGCTCCTGTACTTCTTTGGGCGTAGGGCGTTTTGTATTGCGTTCATACGGCCTGTAATACTGTGAACCATACCCATAGGAAATAATGGGATTTCGGTGTTTGAGCGTTTTGCAGAGCGTAGGAACGCGCTACAAAACGCCCAGGTGTGAACCAGGCCTTAAAGAGCCACAGGGGCGGATGTGTAAAAAAACAAACATATTAGGGGGTACCATGTGTCGGCTTTTTTACATTTCAGGTTAGCTTATTGTATCTCTCAGTGACACCCGTGGTGAGATCTCCATTCCATAGTTGCCATATCTTTTTTTCCCCCATGGGGGGTGTTGCAGCTCCTCGTGCGTTTTCCATAATCTAAAATAAAGCAGAGATGGTGGGAGCCCTTCGTAATTTTTTGATTCAGGAGCTCAGGGCCTTAGATCTCACTAATAGAAACAAAGATTTAACCGTTCTGGGCAGACTGACCCATTAATTAAAGAAAGATAGAGGCGGAGAGCCCCAGCGCGCATGCAACACAGACAAGGCAAGTGGCCTTATGTTCTTTTGCTTCAGTTCTCATCAGTGCGCACTGAAGAAAAAAAGACGTTGCATATTTACGCAATGCGTTCTGCAGCGCTGTAGTACGAAGTCAGAGGCGTCAGTCAAACATTTTTAAAAGCGAAAAGAAATGAAAGCACTGTGATACATTATAACAACGCTCTGCTGAGCGCGATCACTATGCACACCATAATGCATTGTATGTGCACGGCGCGCATCAGTATGTCATGTGCCCCTTAACATGCACCTGTCTGTGTGAGCAAGTCTTTTCCCGAAAACTCAATGTCTGTCTGCATTGTATTTTTTTTTAATGTACAAACCGTATACTGTAAATGAAGTTTGGTATCAGTTTTGGGTGGAACGACCCTTTAAATGTACATTTATTATTATTATTATTATTATACAGGATTTATATGGCGCCAACAGTTTGTGCAGCACTTTACAATATAGGGAAGACATTACAATCACAAAACAAGACAAGATGGTAAGGTGGGCTCTGCCCCTGATGGCTTACAATCTAAAGGGGAGGGGGAAGTGATGCATGAGGAGGTAGCTGTGTGGTGGGGATGAGTTGTTTGAGAACATGATTGTTTCGGTTGAGGTGAGATAGGTTTCCCTGAAGAGATGAGTCTTAAGGGATCACCTAAAGGCAGTCAGAGTGGGAGATAGTCGGACAGGTTGGGGTAAAGAGTTCCAGAGGACAGGAGATTCTCTAGAGAAGTCCTGGAGGTGAGCATGCTTCTCAATCCATAAAGCCCGCATGTCAGTAGACCCTTTCTGGTTGATTTCCTGTAGCCATTAAGGGGGGACAGTACATGCCACAGTAAGTCGGATTTACGGGCCATCTTCCAAGCCCGGTTCTTGGTGGATAAACCTGTGAAATCCGCACAAGACATCCGTGAGTTCGACTATAGATAAAACGGGAGGGCACCAGGACATCCTGAAACCATTGGTGACATATTGGACCTGAGATGGTTCTGTGTGCTGAGACTGAAGTCGGCACGATCTAGCTCGGGGTGGGCAAGCTCGGCAAACCCGCCTATACTACAGCCAGACTTCTATGTTATTAGATATGGGGTAGGCGTCCTTGGCTCTCCAGCTGTTATGGAACTACAAGTCCCATGAGGCATTGCAAGACACTGATAGCCACAGGCATGACTCCCAGAGGCAGACACATAATGGGATTTGTAGTTTCAGGACAGCTGGAGTGCGGAGGTTCCCTGCTATAGCTATAAACCAGCATCTCTGGGCGCACCGTTGGGAAAGATAGCTCTTCATTCAGAGTGTATCTCCATTATTGGGCTTTATTTACACGTGAGCTTATCGTCTTTTTTTTATTTTAGCCAATGAAAAGTTGGTTACTAGGCAGGAAAACGCACATTTTGTTGGCGTTCCCATTAAAGGCTATTGAGGCTATGGACAAACTCCAGCCCCCCAGCTGTGGTGAAACTACAAATCCCATTATCTGCCTCTGGTAGTCATGCCCGTGGCTGGCAGAATCCAGCCACAGGCATGTGGAATTGTAGTTCCGCAAAAGCTGCAGGGCCACAGTTTGCCCACCTCTGTACTAAAGGAACTCGTATACTATCTTGGGTGGAGTGCGGAAGTGAGAGAGCTATTGTGTGGGGTCCCACTGGGGCAGGGGTGGGCAACTCAGGCCTTCCAGCTGTTGTGGAACTACAAGTCCCATGAGGCATGGCAAGACTGACAGTAACAGGCCTGACTTCCAGAAGTAGAGGCATGATGGGATTTGTAGCTGGAAGGCAGGAGTTGCCCTGCCCTGCACTAGAGGAGATCCACTGTGTTTGTCCTGATTGTCACCCTGACACAGGGTGATGGGATGAGAGGAAATCTTCCAAAGCAGACACCTGTTTAGGTGAGCACTAAGAAGTGGGTACATTTCCTGTCAGGACAGGAAGTGAGGAGAGGGCTCCCCAGCGGGATTATATATACATACATATACACACGAGGTGAAGAACTTTCATCCCGGATGGATAGATAATTCAGGAGGAGGATATTCCACTCTGGCTTTCCACGTGCAGGGCGCCATCCAGCGCGTCCACCCAGTTTATGGTGCAAGCTTTGACAGGGCACGCCTTGCTGTGATTTAACACCACGGTGGTCTGAGGGTCCCCGAATCCCTATGATGACGCTTCCTGATTGGCGTTTAGTTTTATATTTTAACCCCTTCAGCTATCACCCTCCTATAGAGTAGAGCAATTTTTACATGTCCCCTACATTCCGGTAGGGGCCTGTTTATTCGGCAATATTTTTAGATGGAGGAGTTAATCATGGCTAATTAGGGTATTTTTCAATAAAATGATGCATTGTGTCTTGCTGTATGCCACAGGGTACAAAGTGAGGGGAATCTCCCCAAAACGTTTTTTTTTTTAGAAGTTTTACCCTCCCCCACACTAATTGTGCTTTTGTCTGCAAAAAATAAATAAATAGTATAATAATATTTACAAAAAAAAGCACAATGTTCAATGGGAGGAAGGAGTTAATTAGGGCTGATTAGGTTATTTTTCAATAAAATTATGTCTTGTTCTGTGCTACAGGGTACAAAGTGAGGGGAATCACACTGACGGCAAAAAAAAAACAGTTGAAGTTGTATTTTTATCAGTCCGTTCCCCATCAGATATGTCAGCTCTACGCTGCAGGAGGACGTCTGCCAAGTAGATAACCACACTGCTAACTCAATAAAAAATTAATCTGGTTATAGTCAATAAAAAATTAGTTTATTGTAACATATAGTTAGCCTAAGGCTGTTATGCGCCTGCTCAGTTGCTTTCAGTCTAACACAGGTAACACGCTTAGAGACGTCTATGCCGCTGCTGGCAGGTGCCAGACCAGGCTATATTGCATTAGGACAGGGGTAGCCAAACTCCGGCCCTCCAGCTGTGGTGGAACTACGAATCCCGTGAGGCATTGCAAGATTCTCACAGCCTTAGACATGACTCCCGGAGGGAGATGCATCATGGGATTTGTAGTTTCACCACAGCTGGAGGGCCGGAGTTTGGCTACCCCTGCATTAGGACATTGTAGTCTACAGGGAGGTCCAGGAGCTGGCTGCGGCATCTGGCAGGGTTTTTGGGATCACAAGACTAGCGACCACGTCTTTGACCTGTAAAATAGTCAGCATAAATCCGTCGTGTGGCTATTAAAGGGTTAATAATGAGCATCTCTGGCGCTTAGAGGCATGATCACACAGAGAGGTTCTTCCAAACCACTAAAACAGGGGTGGGCAACTTCAGTTCTCCAAGTCCCATGAGGCAATGCAAGACTTAAAGTGATGAACATGGCGGACAGAGGCATGGTGGGATCTGTAGTTAAAGCACAGCTGAAAGGCCGGGGTTGCCCACCCCTATGTTAGAAGCTGTTTAAGGATCTTTTCCTGCCGTGTGGAGGGTGGGAATACTGTGCGCGGGCTGGTGACACCATCCGATGAACATTGGACGGGTATCTCCCGGCCTTTTAATGGTGATGGCTTACTCTTACTATAGTCACATGATCAGCTTTAAATAAAATCCAAACGGAAGCCACCCTGTAAATTAAAGACGATTACATACCTGACAATGAGTCCGTTCTTAGATGGCAGAGTCCGTTCTTAGATGGCGGCGTCCAATCTTAGATGCCGTGTCCGTTTTTAGATTTCGAGTCCCCTGCTGGTCCCACCGGTCCTTATATCATTATTGTAGTGACATAGGGCCCAGGGATGTACCACCACTGCACCCAGCAGGTGGGGGGGCATCAGATGGCAGCTGTGCTCCTAGCTCTGCTAGAAAGTGAAATATTGCACTCGCAGCCCACAGAACAGGCAAGTATGCGGCTTCCTCTTTCACAGGGGGACACGGTCCATTAAATTACAGTAAACGCTTGTAATTTGATCCCGGGCTCTATTTATACTTCTCAGGAAGGCAGAGCCAATTGCAAGAGCAGGGAGTTAAGGATGCTGGTAATACTGTTGCTATGGTTGCAAAGAAGAGCATTTTTATTTTTGGCGGTCTTGTGGAAACTTTAACTGCAGGTTGAAACGGAAAGCTTTAAGTAAGGCCTCATTCACACTGCTAAGAGCCGGCCCGTACAGATCTGTGCGGCGTGCACGGCCCTACGGGAGGACGTGGCCGTACGCCTACCCGAACTGCACATCGGTGCAAGTGTCCGTACTCATACGCAGACAGGATCCATCCTGTCTGCGTACGGGTACGGACACCCTTGCGGATGTGCAACAGCGTACGGCCGCCTCCCATAGGGAAGAACAGGCTGCTGCAAACAATCACACACAGCACCTGTCCTTCCCGGCAACGGCCCGATGCAGTGCACGCCGCACGGATCTGTACGGGCTGACTCTAAGCTGTGTGAATGAGGCCTAATGGTCAATTTTCCTATGGCTTGTGTAGCAATTTGTCAGTTATTATAGGTGATTTAATTTTTTTTTTTTTGTCTCTGCAGTGTTGTAATTTGTAAATACTGTTATTTGTATATACTGTAAATGATGACCTTGCTGGCGACAAATCGTACCAGAGGCAACTGGGAACAGACACAAACTCAGACACAACACAAGCAGAGGCCACAGGTACGGCATCCGGCAGGGAAGGAATTGCTCGGTCCAGAGACGGATTTTTTTTTCACGGGTTTGTTCCCTTTGCTTTCAGGCCACCGCAGAGCAGATCAGACTGGCGCAGATGATTTCAGATCAGAACGATGCAGACTTCGAGGAGAATGTCAAACAGGTGAGGCGCTTATCAGGGGATATATTTATCTGGCTACAGCTTTTTTTTTTTTTTTTGGCTGTAGTTCCCTTTTGGGTCACAGGAGTATATTTACTAATCTGCTCCTGTGACCGAACGTCAGCATATAGCGGGATCCTTCCTGCTGCCCGATTGACAGCTGCCTCTGTAGAGCCAGAGCCAGCTGTGCCCGCCCCCTCCCCTCTCTGTTCTTCCACTGAGCGCTGGAGGAACAGAGGGTGATGATCCCTAAATAACAATCACCGCCCTCTGCAGGGGGAAGCCGTGAGCTGAGTGATCAGACGTTTGTGATTGCTCAGTTCTCGATTTATGGAGCCAACGTGCCACAGCTGCAATGTCAAATACTGGCTTAAACTATTGGGAAGAGCCCATTTTACTCTCCCAATAGTTCTCCTTTATTACTTGCCTGTTCCTCGGCTCTTCACTCTCTTGCAGATCTGCCACCTCCTGCAGAATCGCCAAATCTGACACTTCAGCTGTGTTGGATGACCCCCTTGCCATGTGCTGTGGTTTCACCTGCCAGACCCTACCCCTCTTACATGGCATAACAGAGGATGGAACCATTGCACAGGGAGACGGGGGAAGCAGGTTGCTGACGCACAGCTGAAAGAGTCGAATTGGAAGGCCTTAGCTCTGCAAGAAAAGGAATATCCACAGGGAGGTCGATGGGACAGGTAATATGGTAAACATTCCTTATGAATTTTGGAGAATAAATACCTGATGTACCTGACATTCCGAGGGCTTTCCTCCTGCATGATGACAACGCTAAATGCTTGCGATGAATTCACTGCAGGGTTTCATCATTACACACACTGTAGAAGAGGGTTGTCAGTGTTGTCACCTCCTATGACACCTCTCCTGGCTGCAAGTCTTTGTGGGAGAGGTATTCGGCCCTGTGTGTGGAGGAGGTAACACATAGTGCCACTTGGATCCTGGCTCCACCACAGTAGACAATGAGAGCTGGATGCAAGGGGGTGGGCTGCTTTTGAATATAAAATTGAACCTGGCGAGCTGCAAACTTTCCTTTTTTCAATGGATGCATTCTTGCTCTTCAGTTGATCGACATCACAGGGAAGAACCAAGATGAATGTGTAATCGCACTTCACGACTGTAATGGAGATGTCAACAGAGCTATTAACGTCTTGCTGGAGGGGAACCCAGACACTGTAAGTGACACAATGAACAGCTTCCCCGTCTCGGTCTTATTTTCTCGTTTGCTCCTTTTTTATTTCTTTGTGTCTCCGTTTTCTCTTTCTTTCTCCAGATTGTAATCTGCATTCCAATGTGCCTTTCAGTTTCAATTCTTCCATCCTGTAGCTGTTCTATTTGCATCTCTGTAAACTCTGATCAATAACTATATCCTGTTACTATTTTGCACCCCTGCAGCACTCCTGGGAGATGGTGGGGAAGAAGAAGGGGGTGTCTGGACAGAAAGAAGCAGGACCCACAGAGCCCAGCGAGGAAACGCGTGAGAACAAAGACAGAGAGCGAGATTTCAGCCGCAGGCGTGGAGGTGCCCCCAGGAGGGGCCGAGGATCCAGCCGCGGGAGGGAGTGTAAGTGATATGTTTGCAATCTGAGCGTCCCCGTTATGGTTACACGGGCAGTTTGAAGTGGCGATTGGATACCATTACTGATTCTGTACATATTGTTTGTTTGTTTGCTTGCTGGCTTGTTATATGTAGCCCATACCATTTTTATTTTCCAGTTCGGGCTCAGGAAAACGGATTAGAAGGGGGCAAAAGTGGTGGCTCCTCTGGGCGAGGCACAGAGAGAGGACGCCGCGGTCGTGGAAGAGGAAGAGGTAAATGTGTGGCATGTTCCTCACAGCGGTCATGTTCAAACAAAAAAAAGGCATCTGACCACACAAACTCCTTCCTTTGAATGCACAATGCTGTTTGGCCTTCAGTAACCCGTCCGCTGTCTGCTTTTTAATATGCAGATCTTTATCGTTCAGTACAGATTTGGGGGGGGGGGCTGTGGGCGAGCTGTGGTTTTCTACAGAATACATTTTATTTCCATACACAGGGGGGTCAGGAAGACGAGGTGGAAGATTCTCTGCGCAGGGTATGGGGTAAGTGCATTCCATCCGTTCATTCTTTTGGTTTTAGTAATTTGGCTGCATCTCAGCTTCTGTGATTCTCCCCTCACTGTTACTCCCCCATCTGTTCCAGAATCTTCAACCCCGCCGATTACGCTGAGCCTTCCACCAACGAGGATAGTTATGGCAACACCAACACATGGAGCAACCCCGCTAATTTTGAGCCTGACGACGGATCAAGTAAGTGATCGGGGTTTTCCCGTTTTGCACTTGGAGGCTCTTAAACATCTGCTGACGTTACAGCTTTGTACTCGGAAGCCTTTGATGCTGCGCCAAAGTTATCTGGGCATTTGTGTGGGTGCAAGTATCAGTCCTCTGACCCTGCTGGGCACATTCTCTGTGTGTTTCCATCAGCAAGTAACTCCCCAATCCACCATAGAAGCATGCTCTATGGCAGATGGGTTTATAACCCCGCACCCAGGTGCGCTAAGGACAATCCTGGCCAGATATAGTTTTACAGAGATTCCCGAGTGCAAATTTTTACTGAAAAATTTGCATTGAAACAGTCTTTGCCCTCGTTCACACCTGAACGTTTTGTAGCACGTTCTACGCTCGACGAACGCTCTACAAAACGCTCAAAAATATAAATCCCATTGTATTCAATGGTCTCGTTCCCACCTTGGCGTATTTCCGCCCGTCCCTAACGCGCTACAAAACGGCCCACGCCTGAAAAGGTACATGTACTACTTTGGGCCGTTTTTGTTGCGCGTTTCCATTGGGATACAGCCAAGTAGCCTTCGGAAACGCGCGACGGTCGCGTTACTTTTTTACCGCGAATCGCGGTAAAAAACGCGCAGCGTTACGTGCATATGCAATACGCTGGCAACAATTAAGTAGTTTTGGGAGTGAGGGGGGCAACAAACTTAAAAGAAAATATTACGTTTAGCAAGATTGTTTAAAATGAATCGACTTTAAAATCTAAAGCCATTTTTTTAATCTAATTTTTGTGTAGAGAAGGGAGTTGCTAAATCTGACCTCCGGCCTTCCCTTCAGTCTTGCACAGTTACCGTCTCCTCTCCTGGACTGAAATGGCGTCCTCTGATTTAACTGCACACTGCGAGCTTCTCACAATGTTCATTAGAAGCTGCAGCAAGTCAGAGCCCACTTAATTTCCTGGCTGCAGGACATCCAGCATCATCTAGCCAAAGGGGTAAGCAAACTGGCCCTCCAGCTGTGGTGCAACAACAAATGCCATTAGGCATTGCAAGTCTCTGACAGCCACAGGCATGATTCCCAGATGCATGATGGACTTTGCAGTTTTACCACAGCTGGAGTTTGCCTACCCCTGCTCTAGCCCTTCCCTCTCCATCCTGAATGTCCTTGGCCGGCCCCTTTTAGTCATTGGATTTCAGTCCTTTCCCCTCACCTCGCCTAATGGGTACACAGATGACAACAAAAGCCAGAGAGGAGTCCTAATCCTTCCCAACTCCCTTCAACACTGAAAAAATGGCTTTAGATACTTAGCGTTTAATGGCGATCACTCAGGAGTTTTGCTGGAGGCTACTAGAGAATGTTTACAAGCTGGGCATTGAAAGGAAGAATTATCCTTTTTCCTAAATGTTGTGAATTGCACATTTTTGTACCAGCCGACCATTCTATATTTTGATCAGATTTGTAGGTTTTCCTCCTAGTGTCTGTCTCTAGATTAATGAGGGTGATGTCTGCGGAACAGCTGCAGAGATAAAGCCAATCATTACGTACTGTAGTCTTTTTGGTTAGACATTGAGGGATCAGAACATTAAAGCAGATTCGCTTGCTGTACAGCATTTATAGGTCAGGATCAGTTTGGCTGCCCCCATGCTTATATCATGAGCTGTACATGGAAACAGATTTGAAAAGCAGTAACCTACAGTGATTGGATAATATACAGTTATATCTAAGAAGAAAACCTTTAAAAAGACACTGTCCACTTTCCATTCATGGTCTTATGACTCTCATCCCCGACCTCTTGATGCTCACCTCTCTAGAGATCCTCCTCTGCTCCTTCCTCAATGGCCACCGCTGCCAAATACCTAGTGCTTCCATGTATAGGGGTGCACTCCATCCATGGTGCCCAAACGCATGAAGAGGTGCTTCTGTTTATGGGGATGCATGTCAGCACCTCCTATGATGCATTGCTAGGCCTGAGCACTGTTATATACAGAGAGGTGTCATTACTGCTCCTGTGTATGGGGGGAGTGCATATGAACTCCTCCCATGAAGCGTTGCTCCAGCCTGTCACTAGGCTCAAGCGCTATTACCTTATGAAGAGAGAACATCACTGCTCCCCTCTTGAGCGCCAGCACCGGGTATTTAGGTAGTGGCTGTAAAGGGGAAAGGAGCGACAGGGGAGTGCTAGGGAGGTGAGCATCAAGTGGCCCAATGGCTTACACAGACACTGTCACTTCACCTTTAATGGACAAGGTGCTCATGAAACTTAAAAAAAAAACTGATGCCCTTTTAAAACAACCTAATTTCACTTAAAGTGCACCTGTGCTCTGCCATTATAGGTTAAAATGACAAGTCCACTTTAAAGTGGTCCCAGCAACCTCACTACTGTGCTGCTCTGCTTGCCTGTGGTAGTGAGGAGGAGAGGCAATGTACTCAGACACTCGTGGGCAAAGCACAGGTTCCTTTTAGATTAAGTGGTTGTTATAGGAATAGGTCAAGAGTGACATTTTAGAAGGTCCTGAGTCAGTTTCTTCCTGGGTTTGGGGAGATCAGGAGTCTCCGGGGGAAGGAAAATTAAAAGAGCTTTCTACACTTCATCTCAATCTGATTGTCTTTTTTTTCTGTTTCCCTTTTTTGTTTGTTTCAGGACTTGATTACATTGGTGGTGAGGGTTCAGATAATCCCCGAAAATTTGCCTCTGCTCCTGGTATGACTCATCCAGGTGCTTTGACTGCCCCTGATAACACTTTTATTTCTGATTGTTGTGTGTACCTAATCCTGTCCACGCAGCAGCCGGGCTGGGAACACAGTGCGTTTTAAAGCTTCTGGTGAGAGGCGGATAAAACGCAGCCTGGATGATGGTAAAAGATTTATGTGAATGTGAAATCCGGGCGGGGAGGGGGCAGCTCTCCTGGTGTCGTTCAATAAGGTTGGGACGGTGGACAATAACCCTTCCTGCATCCCAAAAAATAAATACCCAATTAAGCAGGTTATCAGACGCAATGGCCAAACGGACATACCGCAGTTCTCTTAACCACCATTTCTCTAGTCACCTTCCAGGACAGCATTAGAGAGATAGGCTCCTCCCACCGGAACAGGAAACACATCACCCACACTTAGAATAAAAAGGAGCACAAGCCTAGCACGCTTCAGTTATTTTGTGTTTCCTCCGGCCGAGCAGGACATCGTAAAGTTTGTTCTAGGACATCGTAACGTTTGTTATTTTTTTCCTAGGCCTACGTGCTAGCGAGCAGGGGCTTCCCCCCAACATGGTACAGCAGAGGGTCAGTGGACCTGGGGTACCTATGGAGGGGGGCTTCCGGGACAGCCCCAACTGTCCAAAAGAAATTGCCTATGGTTTTCCGGCATAAGAGTATGCAGGGCAACCAGCCTGTTGGTGTAGTGGACTCAGAGGAGTCATTTTTATGATGACCTGTTAGTACAATAAGGTTTTCTTAAGGGGTTTATAAGATATACAGTAAAAGCTTGACATACAAAAATCAAAGTTGCTGTACAACAGTAATTGTAACACAAAAGGTCCAAAGGCTAAGAACAGTCAAGGCTAGAGGGTCCAGAATAGAGGATGAACATCACCCGTATGGGTCACACTATGCTGTGCGGCTTGAAGAACCGCCCCTCCTGATGGAGATGCCTCAGGACACAGTATCTAGTTAGGGGCGCATAAGCCGGTATATGATGACCTTTTAAAGGGCCCGCTATGTTGTTCCTTAAAGGGTCTGTTGCTTTCCATTTTAATAATGCAAAGTTTGGCTCTTATAAGAGAGTATGCTCTGCGGTGGGCGGCGAGCTCTGCTCTCAGAGCGGTTCACGACCCATCCTTACCAGGGTTGTTGATTTCCTAATCCCCCCCCTATGCTCACGACCGACCCGTACCAGGGGTAATGATTTCCTAATCCCCCCTCTATGCTCACGACCGACCCGTACCAGGGGTAAAGATTTCCTAATCCCCCTCTATGCTCACGACCGACCCGTACCAGGGGTAAAGATTTCCTAATCCCCTTCTACGCTCAATAGTCCCTTCTGGTGGCTTCTACATCACTTGATATTGGCATTGGAGCGGTGGGAGGAACCACAACATTCCTACATGTGCTACTGCAGATTGGGCGCTCTGCGTTTTACAATAAACATGCATATCGCTATGATTTGTATAGGCTGTACAGCGCCAGGCTTCATATAACACATACAACCATGCATGTGAAGTGAAAAATCAAGTACGAACTGCGGTATTTCATTTGGCTTGCCCGTCGAAATTCCTTTTGCAACTCAGATTGCATTCCTTAATTCTGTCTCCATGGTGCGAATTATCATAGTGATAGACTATTTGCTGTGCAGAAATGGTGGTCGGTGGGCCATATACAATGCCTCCTAAAATGATTTTCGTTCTGACGCTGTGACATTGCTGGCTTCAATATAAAGAAAAAACATTTTGTTTCCCTTAGAGCTGCTTGTAATATTCACAAAATATAGATCTGAAGGGACGTCATCCAACGATTATGTAAATTTGGAAGTGATGGCGACGGTTGCAGACTTTTATTTTTCTAAAAATAGGGAAATTCCTTTTTCAAGTCTCAATTTGATACCTTGAATGGAGGGGGGGGGGGGGGGGGGTGTTAT